ACACCCCTCTTTGTATATAGACATGAGTTAAAAGGTGACTATAGTCATCACAGAGACACAAACACATACAAATCCAAACAAAAGAAAAAGCCTCTTCTTAGGATTCAACAATAAACTCTTTTGCTGAGTTAAAAAAAATACCTTAAAAAATATAGCTTTATAAAGAAACTTCACACTTATTATGTAATAAGGCATTTCTATAAATACATACTTTTATTATAGCATTTTCTTTTCTATTTTTAAAATGTTAAACATAAAACTAAACAACCCTTTCACATTTTAGAATCTATTTTGTTTTAAAAGATTCATGTTTCTTACAACAAATTTGAGCTTTCTTTTTAATCTTTACCAGATGTTGTTTATACTACAAGCAATTTTTTTCAGTGCCCCATAATGCAATTATTGTTTAATTAGTGATAAATCTGTCATTCTTGGGCTTAAAACCTTAACAAGTACCAAATGTGCTCTTATGTTTTAAGTTGATGTGAGGGTCTCGGTGTCAGGACACAGAAGTGGGGGGTGCACACTGCATAACGCCCTCCTCTGCGCACTGGACAAACTCCTCCTGCTTTGGTCCCTGTGTGCGCCTATGCTCCAAGGTAGTTTCTCAGGTCTCACGGCTTCTCAACTTCATCTCTGAGTGGGAGGGACTGCCGTGGCTCACTATTTTTTGTTGTTTTTTGTTTTGTTGTCTGTTTGTGGTCCTCCTCCCCTCCACCTTCCAGTAGCTACAAGGCCTGCAACCCCAAGAGTGAAGCTTATCGTGTACCCTGGGCTTTCTTTGAAGACGACGTTGGGGCACCTGGTGCCCTCCCTAGGCAGACCCTGGAAAATGCAGTACAGACAGAAGCCCCACCACAGGTCTCCCTGGTCCATGAAGGCTAAGCCTCTACTCCAGCTCTGATTTAATTACATGTCTCACATCAGAGCTCAGACAGGAAGTACTCCAACAACACTGATGAAAATGCTGGACTAGACAAAGATCATTTTTATTGAGCTAACAACCCTTCTAAGATAGATAATTAATGAGGAATAGTCTCTGACTTAAGAGCAGAGTAAAACAAAAGCCCTACCCTGCCTGCCTCCTGCCTCCCATGCACCCCCCTCTTTGGGGCAGCTCTCCTAGGCCCAAAGTGGTAGCTTCCGGCAGGCGGGTCAGCCGACGAAGAAGTGCACAGGAGGGCATGGGAACCAGGGTTCCCCTGGTTCTGGCACGTAGCACAGTGCAGCAGCCAAGCACAGGCCACCCTACCATCCAGCAGCCCCTTTTCATTCAAATTGGGGGCCTAAACAATAGCTTTCTGGGCTCCACACACAGAACTGTAACAGGAAAACAGCCTCCTTGATGCAAGGCCAGCCTGGGCAAAGAGCATCGTGCCAAAAGGGCCGCATAATTAGCAAGTGGCTTTCACTGCTTCCCCTGACGTCAGTTTTTAAGGTCAGGTCTGAGGCTACGGATTACGGTCTCCTGGTGACTGCTCTGTCAAAGGAAACACAAGACCATCTGTTTTTGAAACTTTTAGTCTGCACAGTAAATGACAAACTGGGGTTAATACCCTGATTTATCTGGGGCCACCAACTATGGCAGGCAGTCATGATCTTGGGGACAATCCAGGGTAAAGAAGCCAAAGGTTGAATCTCAAACACAAGCAGGTTTGGGAATGCATTTTTACTTCTCAAGTCTCATGCATGTGCATGCACACACATCTCGTTAGGAATTAAGGTGCATTCAGGTAGTCTCTCTCACTATTCATTTTCTTACCAGAAACTGCCAGTCCTCTTAAGTCTCCAAAAGGCCAAAGGACGTTCAGGGAGGTCACTACACTTAGCACAGCACTTTTATCTTTTGTTTTTGCTACATTTGGGTAACTATAGAATTTCCAGGAATCATTCTTGATAGTCCCAAGAGATGGGAATATAATTAACAGTGTTCCACACAAAACAAAGTTATGTAGACCATCACACTTTAATTACTGTCAGAATCTAGCACTAATGCAATTGGCATCAGGTTTCTTGGGCAGCAAAAAATGGAGCAGTCAAGCTGAGTCTTACAGATCTGATACTGCAAATGGCCCTGTCAATGCTCAAAGATGCTGCCCTGTGATAAGTGAATCAGATGATGCAATTAGGAAGCAGGTTCTTCAAGTTACCCCTGTAATCACTCAGCCAGGTCACGGGCTTTTTCTACCCTGCTGGGCTCTCTGGCTTTGTAGGCTCAGTATAGTGGAGGAGAACCACCTCAGCCAATCAGAGGCTCCCAGCTTGTTGTCTGTATTGAAATTACCTCCATGAACCACAAGGCATAGAGAGGTCACATCCTGGCAATGCCACAATAAATTAAACCAAGTCACACCCCCTCAAATCCCTCGTCAACAATAATAAAAGTTCTGAAGCTTCCCACACATGATCCTGATAAACGGCTTCTAAGCTCCTTGACTAGGAGTCTGAGGTTCCCTCAATACTGTGTCTAATGGGGACGACACTTTTCCTGTGCTCACTAAAGATGGTTGGGCTAAGGGCTCCAGGTAAAACAGAAGCAGACAAGGTTCAGAAAAGAAGCCATGGCATCAACAGTCACAGACAGTCCATGGGACTGGGAAGCTTGCCACTGAGGGAAGATGTAAACGACAGTGATAAGCAGCCTGGAAGCAAATAACTCTGTCATCATTTTGCACTGAGAGCCAGGCAGACCAGAGATAAAATAAGAAGTCACCATGTGCACATTTAATTTAGAAACAAAGACATTTACCAGATAAAGTAACTTAGACTACCTTAACCTGGAAGGGGCTGTCAGAGGGCTTATAGATGATCTACAGGCTCTGTAAGGAAGCTGCTCTTTAAAATTCCATATAACTTTTGAAAATGGTGAGAAGTAGCAATCATGCACGTGTGGTGAGAGAGAATTCAAGCAACTGCTGCCCATGACTAATTCCCTTACAGTCTCCAATCTGAAAATCAGCCGGCATTCTTAGCACCTTCCTCAGTCTAGACCATGACCATGGCAGATGCCTGCTCTCGCATTTTCATGGCCCTTGAGTTGAGCTATCACTGTTCTGCACTGCTATGGGAACGCACTGCCTCCATCAGATACCCCAGGTCATAAGAACCATTGAGAACACAGAGGAGGCCTCTGGGGTTCCTGTAAGGTGTGGGTCCCCACCACATCTGCAATGCTGTTCTCTTTAGCCACATTATGATTCTTGGGAACATGGGATTTTCAAGATGGTTTCTCTGTGTAGCTTTGGAGGCTATCCTGGAACTCACTTTGTAGACCAGGCTGGCCTCAAACTCACAGAGATCTGCCTGCCTCTGTCTCCCAAGCGCTGGGATTAAAGGCATGCGTCACCACTGCACAGTTCAAATTCGACTCACCTGACTACTCTGACAGCAGAAACTCCTCTCTGTAACCATGCTGGGTGGCCGAAAGCCACAGTGACAAGTGTGTGTGGATATGCAAATGAGACAGTTGGTGTCCTGGACCTTTCACTCCAAAACCTGACACTAGGAAACTGAGATAAAACACCTTGTAGAAGAGGAAATATTGCTGCCTGCAGATTGCATTTGAGACACAAGTAACCGTGATTCTGCCTTGTGAGCATGCACATTCAACAGGCACTGGCAGCTACAGGTCTGCCTAGGTACCGTGATTCTGCCTTGTGAGCATGCACATTCAACAGGCACTGGCAGCTATCTCTCTGCCTAGGCGAACAAGTTCTTTAAATCCACTGAGGACTTCACCAAAATCTAGGCCTGTTGTCTGAAGGAACTGGTCTCCTGGTGGGCAGTTTATTCTGTGGACACTGGCTGGTTTCTTATTAGCACTCTGTGCACAGTAAATCTCTTTCATATTTTTAATGTGGTCTTGCTATGTTGCCCAAGCTGTCTTTAAGTTGCACTTTATTTATTAGGGGTGGTGGTACATGCCACAGCATGTGTGGAACTATCTGTGTAGTTTGTTATCTCCTTTTGCCATGTGGGTCCTGGGTATTGAACTCACGTTGTCAGACTTGGACAACAAGCAACTTTATCCACCAAGACATTTTGCCCCCCACCAACCAAACTGATTTTAAACTAGGTTCAACTAACTCTCCATTTGTGCCTTCTGAGAACTTGAACAAGTCAGTGAACCACTGTGCTCAGTTTAGTTTGCTTACACACAGACACACACACCTTTTGCTTATTCTTCTTTTTATGTATCTTATAAGAAAGCAGTTCATTTGAAACACACTTTTGTCAGCCTGTCACTGCATTAAATAAGAGGTTCTGGGGAAAACATGATTCTTAGAGCGAAATTGTCACCACATATTGTGTGATGTATAGTTTGGGTATTTTTTTTCCCCTGGGGACTTCTCTAACCCCACTAAAGGCAGACACTCCGACTGACCAGGCCCTGACCACTGCCTGGAAGTCTGGTCACTGGTACTGAGAATTAGTGCCCTTGAAGGGCGTGGGAACTTCTGTACACAGGGGCTGCACCCAAAAGAAAACTTACACAAGTCTAACTGGTTTTGTTGCTCTAAACATTTTTCTGAGCTTGTTTCTCTTGAATACTCTGCTTTCTTCTCATGAAGAGCTATACGTTCACTTTCTAAGTTTGTATACTGTCTGTCTGTCTGTCTGTCTGTCTGTCTGTCTGTCTGTCTCTCTCATCTACAATATGTTAAAATGAGAATCTATTTTTAAAAAGCCTATTCTGCATCTCTGGCCTCTTCAGACCCCTGGGAACCACATTCTTCACATGCCATAGGTGAGGACATGGCCTGTCTGTTCTCTCCTGTGAAATTGGGCAATGTGATGGAATAGGGCAAATACAGGAAAGCAGCTAAACCTCCTTAGCATCAGGAGGTGGCTGGAGTCAAAACACACACACACACACACACACACACACACACACACACACACTCACACTCATATACATCACACACACACATACACGCACACACACAGAGATGTAAATAAGGATGCTTCTAATCGTAACAAAAGATGCTTCTGGCCCCCTGCTCTGATCATATTTTTTACTTCTGTCACCAAAGCCCAGCACGTACCAGCAATGACTCTTTTATACAGCACTCCACCTCTCCCAGGCGATTTCTCTTGCTGGAGAACAGCTTTTCAAAAAGATGCAGAGTTGCTTTTTCAAGACTTGGGAGATGGCGAAACCAGAGGCTGACCACAGAGGACGTAGGCAGAATCATCTTTTTCCTTTGAGCAAGAAACAAGCAGAAGGTTAAACAGAAATAGATTACTGAAAAGGAAAAAAAAACAAAAAGTTCAATGTTCAAATGGCAATTACTGATCAAGTGTGTGAAGCTTCTCAACATGGTCTTGGCAGCAGTCGATATTATGCACCTATTTGCAAAATGCCATGACAATCACCCACCTAAGAACTCAAAGGAACACTCAGAAAATGAAGATTGCTTCAAAGATAAAAGGCATGCCATGTTTTAAACATCAGAAGGAGACTGAGACCTGGATTGAGTCCGTAGCCCTATGGAAGTTACTTGGCCCTCCATAGCTCCAGTTGACTTATCTGCAAAAGTGGCTAGAAGGAGCCAGTGTAGCAACACACGTGTAATACACAGCAAGACCACACTGTGAATACGAGATAGATAAATGTGAATGCAAGTCTTGATGGGACATGGCCCAGTTGGTGCACAATGAACCTGTTATAGCCAAATCATGCCATGCAGCTTTATTTCAGTTTCCTGTCTTTTGTGTGTAGTTTAAGTGTGGTATATATGTACATGTGTGTATTGCCATGCATTTGTATGTGTAGAGGCCAGAGGGTGACATAGGATCTCTTCTCTATCACTCTCTGCCTTACTCCTTTGAAACAGGGTCTATTCCTGAACCTATAGTACATGGTTGTTTTGATTTTTCTTTTTCTTTATTTTTGCTAGGCTGGCATCCAGCTAGCACAGCCATTCTCCTGTCTCCATAGCATCCCCCTGCCCACCCCCCACACACTCACTCTCCTGGGAGTTATAGGCATGTCAGGGAGTACTCCCAGCTTTTAACTTGGGGGAGGGCACTTCCTGGGTGGAGGTGCTGCTCAGCATGCCATTGGCACCTGAGCCTCCTCAACTATGGAGTAAAGACATACCCCAGCTCGTGTGTGACAAGCTCATAACTATAAAGAGGAATGCCTCTCACTCTCAAAAGTGTTGTGTTCTAACTTATTAGTCATTTGGTTACCACATGTCACACAGTCGCCTTTTGTGGTCATCGATGCTGCCAGGAGCTAACTGTACTTACACACATCTCTCACCAACTGTATACAAGTTTTCTTCCATGCCAACCTCCTCTCTGTCTCTCTGGATACCCCGTTGATGTTACTGCTTCAGTCTGACTCTGATGCCAGCTACCCACGGTTACTACATTCATCAGTAAAAGACTCATCCACAAACAACAAGTCTTCTGGCTAAAAACAGTTTTGGGTGTGACCATTTGGTAAAGCAGCTCAGAATTTACAATAATACTCTACTTACAACCATCAGCAATTCATTACAAAAGAAACAACTAAGAATGGGCTGACAAGAGAGACCCACAGACACATGGGGGATGGGCTTGGGGTTTCTATGCCCTCTCTGGGTACAAAAGTCGGCAAAGTCTTTGTGTTCACCTGGATGCTTTTCAAACCCTGTGGTTGAGCTGATGTCACCGCCAGCTCCTGGTAATTACTAATTACACCCAGTTCTGGTGGTCACCAGGCTGGTGGCTCTGCTGCTAGCCCTGATCCTGAAGCTTCGGGGACCCAGCAGACCTGCCCCTTAGCCTAAACTCACATATGATTGGAAAGGGCTCATTGTACCAAAAGATGGCTCCCTTACCCCTATCACTCGGGAAATCCCGAAGTTTTATAAGCCTGGACAGAGACCACACATACATTTCTTACTCTGTCGTAACATGGAAGACATGCGTCCATTTCTTCTTTCATCTGCTTCCAGCACAGGGAAAGAAACCTCTGCATGCCACCACCAGCCCTCCCCCCACCCCACCCCCATGTTTTTGAGGACATGACACACTCAATTACTAACAGCCCACAGATTAACGAAAGACAAAAGAACCTCAGCAGCCCTCCCACCTCTGAAGGATTTTAGGCAATCTGTAGCTTGCCTAAATTCATCCCAGGGATGAGTTTTATAAAAAGTTAGGCTCCACATTTAAGTCAAGAAATTAAAAGGTTCCTCTAGGTTATCTAAACCACAAAGGGGAACCAGCATGAGTTGTTTAGAGGAAACAGACTGCCCATTTCTGGAAATCCGTGACTGTATTTGGAAGCCAAGGCCAAAGACGCCCAACCAATTATAAAGCACAGGAATTCCGCTATGTGCTGTGGTAAGCAGTGGAGAAGCTGAACACAGGCAAGCTGTGGTTTCTAGAAGGCCACACAGCCATGTGGGGAACTGTTCAAGCTGGGAGGGTGCAGGGTGTGGAGCATCAGTCTGCATGGCTCACTGAATCAGCCTCCTTTGTGGACATGTGGCGGATGGCTCTCCACAGGAAAGCATCCATGGAAAGGCTCCAGCTGAGGCAGTTGCTGGGCTGACGTGCTGGTCTGAAGCTGTTGGAATTGGACACGCTGAGGACCACCCAGCATTTCTGGACAGTCTGTCTCTTGTGGATTAGGAGACCTAAGTTTCCAAACCAAATAAACGTTATTAGTTGCTGAGGGAGAATGCTCTATCGTAAGCGAAATGAGAGCAAGGCAGGCAGGTCCTCAGCTTGGGCTCCGGGCACCATGCCTACTGGTCAGTGCTGTCCGAAACTGCTATTGGGGTTTACAAAAGATGCCAAGGTGGTTTGCTTTAATCCAACTCTTGTCCAAAAGAAGCGGGGGCAGGGGCTGGACACAATGAGAAACTTGGGCTGTGTTGTGTGAAAGGTGGAGTTGGTGGGAAAGCCATTAGAACCTCAAGGACTAAGCTGCAGATCATGATCATTCAGGATCCACGAATAACAAACACAATGGAGGACTTTTCAAAATTCAGGCATCCTGAGTAAATTTTGGCAAAGGATTGAAGAAGATAGGAAAGATGACTTCAACTTTTCGTGTTTATTTATATGGATGCGTGTCTGTTTGTGGGGGTGTGCATGTGTGTGCAGGTGTCCACAGAGGCTGGAAGAGGGCATCAATTGTATCACCCTGGAGCTGGAATTACAGGTGGTTGTGAGCTGCCAACATGGATGCTCTGAACTAAACTCGAGTTCTCTGCAAGAGCACTTGTGTGCTCTTAGCTTTGAGCCATCTTGCCAGGCCCCAGATTTTCAGATTTTAACCATGAAATTATGCTTTGATGTTTCGTTTTGTTTTTGTTGGTTTTTTTGTTTTTTTTTTTTTTTTTTTTTTTTTTCTCAGACAGAGTCTTGGTACAGCCCAGGCTAGCTTTGATTTGTGGCACTCCTCCTGTGTCAGTTTCCTCACTGCTGGGATTACAAGTGTGAACTGCCAAACTTAGTTCTTGTTTTGACCTTTTTTGAAAACATTAAACAGCTTAGCCTTCTCTGGACTATCAGCTTCCACAAAAAAGGAAGTATGTACTGTATATATAAATGTTAGGAGTTATATATGGAAAATGGAAACACTCTACCAGGGCCTCCCTCCTCTTTTGAAGTCTTCATTTCCCAAATGCAACAACAGGACACCTGAAATGAACGAGAAGACCCACTGATGACCGACAAGGTTTCAAAACAAAAGACAATAGCTAGAGAGTAAGAAATGCCTCAAATGCATACACAGGGCCACACAGCAAATGCTGCTAGATCACAGAGTAGAGCTGAACAAACAGGTGTACTCACAGGTGGACAGAAAGCTGTAGCATATAAAGATTCTGTTCTCCTTAGGCCAACCCACACACCTGATGAAGTCTTCCCCAGATAACGTAAGGTATCTTTCCTGAGGCCAAATCACTTTTAGAGTTTATACATGTAGGGAGACATCGTAGCCACACCTCCTAAGGGCTGGGCGTGGTCAAGGTGAGGTCAGGATGACTCGTGTTAGGTTCTTAAAGGGTGAATAGATCCACCATGTTCATGAGTTTCCATTAGAGTTCCCAATTTGTAGGCTGGGATGTGCTTGGCATTGACCAACCGGATGATTTCTGCATCGCTAAGGAACTTTGCACCTTTCTCGGCACTCTCCAGTATCTGAAGACATTCTTCATTAGGCCGAGGCTCGCTGGAGAGTTCTATTTCAGGCTCCTGTGTCCTCAGTGCCACTGGAGGGCTGGTCCCAGAGGTCCCAAGCATGAATGTAGCTCTGATTGCACTCTCAGTTTCCTCCACTAATGGTTTTATAACCTCAACTTTTCTATCTTGGTTCACCCCAGGCTCCTCCTCAACTGATGAAAGCTTCTCGCTCCTTCTCACAAGCAGAGGCTCCCATCTGCAACAGTTGTTAAGAACCTAACACGCATCATCCTGATCTCACTTGACCATGCCCTGACAGGCGTGGTCAGGCACACCTGTAGCCAGCCTTTAGGAGGCGTGGTTACGGTGTCTCCCTACATATACAGAAGATGAAACAAGCAACACACACACACACACACACACACACACACACACACACCCCCCGCTCGCCCGCTCTCTCTCGCTCTCTCCCTCTCTCTCTCTCTCCCACACACACACACACACACACACACACACACCATTAAACCACAAAGGAAGAAAAGTGAGAATAACTAGACTTACTTTATTATTACGAACACACTGGACTCTACTACTAACAGCTGTTAGGAGGACATGGATACATAACAGACCACAACAGAGAGCACCAAGGAGCTGAGCATAGGCTGACACAACTCCCAGGCTACATCCTGGTGGGAGGGGCTGGCATCCTTCACCACATCAGAGAGGGCCACATGTTATGCAGCCCAAAAGTGGAGCAAGGCTTATTGTTTTAACAAATACTTTGCAAAACCACTCTACACCTGGAAAGAAATGTAAAGGAACTCATGAACCAAACATAATACGGAGCTTTGAACTCTGATTCTAACAAACTAGGGGGAAAAAGAAGTTACAAAACAGGAGAACTTAGGCCCTGATAACAACTTCAGATATAATACTGGTGGCATTATATATGGCTTTTAGGGTTTTATTTTTTTACATTTATTTATGTATTATTTAAGTATTTATTGTGTGGGGGCATGGGCACACCACAGAACACATGTAGAGGTTAGAGGACAATTTGCAGGAGTTGGTTC